GACACATGTCTTATTACCTCCCAAATGCTCCCCGAGGACAGCCCGCGAGTGTGCAGGCAAGTGGGCAACACCTCCCCAGGGGGAACCTGACTCTTCAGAATAAACTTGAGTTATGGATTTATTCAGCCTGTAAAACCTCAGCTGGCATAAATAATTGAGAAAGCAAAGGTTTGTCTGTGGTGCATGCCGTGGGGACACACGCCCGCCTCCCTTCCTCCCACCACCCTTTCTTATGAAAATGATCCCAGTTGCACTGATAGATAATAACAACACCAAGCAATTAAAAGCTATGGGTGGCTAGAGAGAGGAGAAAAGGTTCAGTTAATGAGCTTTTCCTCTTCCTGTGCCCAGGAGAGCCTCCGAAGTGATGAGGCGATTAAAGCGAAGAGATAATTATAGATTATGTGGAAATGGGTCCCTTGGGGCAAAAGGGCCTTGACTTGAACAGTAACTGTTGCAAGTGTCTCCTGGCTCCTGTGGTTGCTACCTCTCCGTGCTTCATTGAGCTGCAGTATGCTCAGCGGCACTGTGCCAAGCAGACAGGCAAAGCCACCTGTTTGCTGTGCACAACTCTTCCTGGGCAAGGTGGTATGTTTCAAGCAAGTCTTCCTGCACAAAACCACTTTTATCCATTCAGAAAAAGGGAGAAGGACAGTGACAGTGATGGAACATGGGCATCTGTGTCCTGCTTTGTTTTAAAGATGACCTGCAAAAGGGGAGTAACTGGGTGATGGACTTTCTGATGTAGAAAGGTCTGAAAGCTCTGGAAGAAGAGAGAGTCCATACGCGTTTTTTTTAACATAAGAAATTTCAGTGTTTTCCAATCTTTTTATTTCCCCCTGGAAGTCTCTATGAATAGGTGGAGAGCCAATATAAGGAAGTAAAGCCTGATTAGTTGATGACAAATTATTTTTGTTCAAGCACTGTCAAAAATCTTTGGTTTAACAGCTGTTTAACTGAAATACTCTGTAAAGAGTTGGAAGAAAAGATCTATTCAGGATTCAGTTGACCCACCATGTCCTTTCTTTCACGAGCTGATGAAGTTCCCACTCCACATCTGCTATCTCCAGCAAAATAGGGGAAAATCCAACTTCACATTCCTGGTAGTCCTACAGTGGTGGTGGTGGTGGGGTGAGGAGTGCGGGAAAACACTTGCTCTTTCTCTCTGTCTCCTTTATAGTGGGAGTGGAGAGAAGAAACTCTTTGGAAACAAAAGAGGGCACAACTTTGTAGTTATCTTTAAACGCTGATTCTAGCTGACCTTTATTGGATCAGTGACATTAGAAAGTGACTTTAACGTTATAGAAATGATATGTAGTGGGAAGCAAAACTACAGCTCCCTTTTCACAGCTTTCCTATCTCCTCTGCACCTTTGCAGTAATAAACCATGTGCCTTTCTGTGAACTTCAGTTTTGTAGCCTTTACTGTTTGTGGATCTCTTAAATGAAAAGTTTGTCACTTTTGTAACTTTAATGTGGGGGAAAGTGTCAGAATGACAGAGGTAGTGTTTTAAATCTTCCATTTATCCTCAGAACCATCCAAGCAGCAACAGTGAAATGTTGCCCATCTTACTCTAAGATGCTTTGCTTCTCAGCTGGCCTGCAGGCTTCGTGGCTACTCAGTTCTTGGCCTCTGTGCTGAATCTGACACCAAAGGTGTCAGTGTCCTTTCTGGCATATACAGATATCAACTAGGGGTTGGACTCAACATGCCTATTCATTTCACACATTCTCTCCAATGCTGTTTTTCAGTAAAAAATGAATAAATAGGAAAAAGCCAAACCCCAACATTCCAAGTCTCCCCACCGGGAACTCCCATTGTGTATTCCTTATCTGTGTCTTACATAACCACAAGCACCATCTCAGCACTTAACACATTAATAATACTAGTCTTCATCTGCATTTGTTTCAAGCCGGAGAGGTGAAAATCTCCAGTTCCCATTATTGATCCCTCAAGAACCCAGTTTCTTTAAACCCAAGACCTCTTGAGCTTTCTTCCTTTTTTAACGTAGTGTCTTCCTGTATTGGTGAAAACATGTAAGCATGTAGAGATTAGATCTACTTTTTTCATGTCGAAGTGCACAGGAAACAATATAATTACATGAAGACTTGATGTTTTCATTAGTACTAATACACACCTCTCTTCCATTTCTCTGTATCTGGGGCTTTTAGCAAATGTGAGCGTTTATTCATAAAAAATTTTTGGGTGGGTGAAGAACTGAAATTATTTTGACAAAAATTCAGGTGACAATGCTAAATTTCCACAGGGTATGGCTACATGGGAAATTGACCAGCTTAGCTATTTCAGAGTAACTATTCCACTATATCAATTCCAGAATAATTCCCCCATGTGGACATTTTCCCAAAATAAATGTGACTTTTATTCTGGAATTGATATAGCGGAATAGTTACTCTGGAATAGCTAAGCTGGTCAATTTCCCATGTAGTCATACCCTGTGGAAATTTAGCATTGTCACCTGAATTTTTGTCAAAATAATTTCAGTTCTTCACCCACCCAAAATTTTTTTACAAATAAACGCTCGCATCTATACAGTAGTTATTCTTGAATAGCTAAATCACATGGACCTGGCTATCATGGAGTAGCTATTCTGGAATGGCTGTGCTGTTACGTTGTCCCTGTGTAGACACAGCTCAGCATCCTTGGGAGAGATTTGTAGATACTCTTGGGAAGTTGCTCTGGGCTGGTCTAAGCTTTGCCAGTTTAACTTAGCTGGCACTGTCAAAACAGAGAAAGTTGCATCCATACTAAGAGGGTTGCATCAGTACATCTACTGGTAAAGCTTATGCCTTTTGGGAATCAGTTAAGCTGTATTAGTATAACTGTATCTGCACTAGAGTTTATACTGGTGAGAAGTGGCAACCTTAAATGACACAGCTATAGCAATATAACTTTTCTAGTGTCGACCTAACTTCTTATATAAAAAATAATTTACTTGGGTTTCTTTTCTGTCCAAAGAGAAAACTACTCATATGTTCTTATGTACTGATAGATCTGAAATGTTAAACATTAACGGTGCCTTTCTCTTAATCAAGTATCTAGCTGCTATTCAGCTATCAATAAGAATGTGTTAGAAGTCGAGTTCTTAATAATTATATCTAATGAAGCAGTCATCGTCACTTGGGAGTTGGTGTTTAGCATACATCTGAAGACTGTTCATCTGAGTCTTGATCAGACATCAGAGGAATATCTTTGAACATTCCCAAATGCTAGTCCTATAGATGAACCATTAGACCTTGAACCTTTCTCGTCAACAAGTGTGTGCAGTGCATACAAGATAGAGGAAAGGATCCTTTGCATGCAAAAGAGAGGCATGAGATACCAGAGACAGTGTCCAAAGTGAGCTGAAGGTCAGAGAAGTGAGTCCTGGCACTTTTTCTACAGCAGAAGCTCAGGATCAGCAATTAGTGTTTTTTTTTAACTTCTTCACTGCAATGGGGGAAGGAAAAAGAAGTTGTGATCTGAGGAACAAGCAATAAATAACTCACAACAAAGTGCCGAAACACAACAGTCAAGTAAAAATTGCTTCTTTGGAGCTGAGCTCTGTTCTGCATAGACCATGACTATTTCAGCATGTTGATTCATTGCCCCTGGGTTCAGAGCTGTACTATCTGGCATTAGCATTTTTCTGTATTTTCATTTTTTGAGGGAGACAAAATGGGTGAGAGAATCTCTTTCACTGGAGCAACTTTTGTTGGTGACAGACTTCTGTTGGTGAGAGAAAAAGCTTGTGTGTCGGATCAACAAAAGATTGTCCAGTGAAAGGGATTACCTCTGAAACAGCTGCAGCTACATTGCATGCATTTCCTTTGGAGCACAGGTCACAGGGCATGAGTTTCAGGTGTTTCACTTCATGTCCTATTGGACTGTAATGCAGGCAAATTTTATTTATTTTACTTTATTATTCAGGCCTATATGCAGGAATTTCTGTGGGGGGATGTGAGCTGTGGGAGGGGCTGGTGGCTGCATCCTACCCCCTTCGGCTCATTCCCGCCTCTGGTCTCACTTCTGGGTGAGGAAAGGGGGAATCAGCCCTAGCCTTCCGTGACTGGCTGGAGCACAGGGGAGGGAGGCCAGAGCAGCGTGCTACATGATTTTCCTTGGCCAGCTGGAACACGTGGGAGGAAGGCTGGGGCACCACGCCTCTCTGTGCATCCCCCTGCTTTCTCCTGGTCAGCCAGAGCATGAGAGAGGGAGGCTGGGGTAATGCACCGCCTCCGCCTTCCCTAGATTGGTTGGAATCAGCCCTATGGCAGACCATGAAGGACCGTGTGGGGAGGGGACGACGGGTCCATTCACCCCACCTCCCCCTGTGTATGAGCCTGTTGTTGGTTGTTTCAGTCTTCCAAGAACTAACAGTATTAGTGCACTGCTCACAGATAAACTAAGTATTGTGGCATTCTGACACCATGGGATCATTCTTCCTGAATGGGGAGATCGTCTGTTCTGCCATAGAGGTACCCAAATGAATGAACTTTGTTGGCTGTGACCTTACCCCAGCAAATTCTTTAGTCCCATAAAGACCTTCCTTCAAGAGAAAGCAGTGTTTGCATCCATTGTTCTGCTTCTAGATCAGTGGTTAGAAAAGGTGCATAACATTTCTGTGGAGGTTTTCTTATGTTGCTAAGAAAAGAACCATATTTAGCCTGGATGCAATTGCTAGGATTTGCAATGATTTATGCCAAGGCTAAATATGCCTCACATGTTCTTACATTCCATATTCTTTGTGGGAGTTTATTGGATTAAGTATCCATGTCTTTTTTGATAATATTATTCAAATCACTGGTGTTTTCTAGAGCATCAGGCTGAGCTGTCTTATCGGCAAAACATATCAGTCTGCATGCAAAACATTAGAAATCCTTTCCACTCCAGCGATGCTATTGAAATGAGTGTGTCTGCAGTAAAGCTAGTATCTAATGTGTGTATCCTTTACATATTCTCCAATAAGACAACATCCTTTTTTGCTTTTGTTTCCTAATTAGGGAGGAAGACAAGAACATATTTGATTACTGCAGAGAAAACAACATTGACCATGTCACCAAAGCCATACAATCAAAAAAAGTGGACGTGAATGTGAAAGATGAAGAGGTATGGCAAAAAAGTAGTCCATTGATCCTCCAGTTTTGTGTTTTAATGCACTATCCTAGACCTTCTTCTAAATTCCCAATTTAGAACTGTTGTTATAAGACAAGTGCTAAATAGTTGCCAAACATCTACTAGTTGAAATATATTCCATGGGCAGGGAAGCAATACCGTTCCAGTCTCAGCTGGGGTTTTAGTACATGGACTTACTAATAACAATTCTGTGCATATGCCAGGATGCTTCCTTCTTGCAGTACCTTGAAAACCCCAGCTGGGACTCTAAGGAAGAGCTTGATGGTGCCCCTCCCCCTTTCTGTACAATGAGGCTGGTTGAGCAAAAGCACAAAAGAATGGCTTAGTTGGCCAGTGAGTCCCAAGACATTCAAGATAAACTAGTCTGGACTCATGTGATTCCCTCCAAAGCTATACAGCCTTAAACCAGAAAGGCTGGAGAGTACTTCAGATTGGAACGTGTCATTGTCTCTCCTCAGTTATCCAGACAGAAGGCAAAAGAACAATTTAGGTTTGCCAGCTTGACTAAAAGTGTGACCACCATTTAGTGCTTTTTCTGTTTACAAGCTGTGGAAACAAGACTCAGAATATCAAAATCCAAGCAGTGTCACTAGATCCCAATCTTGGAGAAGAGCTAACGGGATCTTCATTAGTAATTTGACAACAACATCAAGAATGAAATGAGTGTCTACATTACGAATTGTTCTTATTTTTCAGTACAGCTATTTACTGTAAAAGCAAACACTTGAATTGAACATACACTTCTGTTGTTCAATCAGTCGGTAACTAATGATCTCCCAGCTTTATCACACTGGTTTCAACCCTTGTACACTGCCACCTAGCCCTGCTTCATAATAAATTCAGCTACCTTTACCCGCTGCTTCCCAGCACATTGTGCTTTGGTGAACAGATGAAGTGCTTACACATTCATAGACTGAGACGCCACAAATTCAGTTGGGTTCTCCTGTAGCTCTAAGCAGATTTCTGCCCTCTGAGCCATGACAGCTCCGGCTGGGGCTCTGAATGCTAATGGCAGGGCCTTTTATTATTAATCAAGAATTGGTGTGAATTAATTTCTAGGGGGAAAGAGGTGGGGAGGGTAAAATCAGGGCTGGAATTTCACATCCACAATTAAAGGAACTGAGACTGTTCGCCATGCAGAGGCGCTCTAACAACAGCACTGAGCTCCATCAGTTCCTCCAGTGGCTACAAGTTAGACAGTGAAACAGGCAGTGTATGTTGTAAGCCCAGAAATAGCAGAGATGCTTTCACTAACTATGGTGTAGTTTAGTAATTTAAAAAAATCACTTTTGAGACCATGTCGTTTGAGCAGTCAACGTGGCATAGCTTCAAACGACAGGTTGGACCTTCCTGGTCTGGCAATGTGAGGACCTGACGGGTCCCAAACGAGAGAATTTTCTGGACCTGGAGAGGTGTCCCCTGCCGCTGGCCCTGAGCCAGCCAGCCCCCTGCCTTTGGTCCCTCTACTTCCACCCCTTCCCCCAGCCAGGCTGTCTGCCCCGCTGCCACTGGGCTCCAGGCTGCCGTGGGTTCTCCAGCCCCAGTGGGTTCTCCAGCCCTACTGCAGGCTGCTTCTTTCTCCGGCCCCATGCTGCCACGGGTTTCTGGGGTTCTCCGGCCTGGCCCCAGCACTTTTGTGGGGCTCCAGCCCCGCTGTCCCCAGCTGGACTGCTGGCCCTGCTGCCATTAGGTTCCCGGGCGCTGTGGTCCGGTAGCATTCGTGATCCTGCTGGACCACAGATGTTGCCGGACCAAAGAGTGCCAGTTTTCAGAGGTTCAACCTGTAGCATTACTTTATTCTGGCTGAAAGAGCACTCTCTTACATTCCCCATCTTCCATAAGCTTCTGTCTCCCTGGACGTTCCTCTTGGGTTACAATTGCCCATTCCAGTTCTCAGTCAGAAGTTTGATGTGTGAAATGTGCATCATTCCTCTGACAATTTGGTATACTAGTCTGGAGCCATTTCTGCACAGTGTAAAAGTTAAGGCCTGACCGCCAGCCCCCGGGTTGCTCTAAGTTGTGCTGAGGGGGCTGGGACAGTCCGTAGCTGCTGGAAAGCCCTGGCTTTGGCTGAAAGATATCCCTGCCCCATCTCCAGGGGAAGTGTGTATATCTCAGATGCAGTCAGGAGTAGTTTTCTTTGAAGGAGATGAGAACAGCAATGTTTAGAAATTACGTGGCCCTTTGTGAAAGGCCATTAGAAAGCGCTTCCTACTATTTATCACCAAGAGGACTTTTCAATACCATGTCGTGAAATCCTCAGAAACCTTATCAACATGACAGAATTTGACAGAAAATTTCCTATTGGTCCAAACCCACGTATAGACAAGGACAACAGCTTCAGGCATTTTGATCTCCATGTTGGTTCTGCATCTATGTGGTTTGGCAGAACATTATGAAGTTTGGGTAGCATCCATCTGTGTTGTGATTAGTTCGGACTGATCTAGTCTCTCATTTTCATGAATACCAAAATGTCACTGTATTTTTAATGAGTCAAAACCCCCCACTGCTCTCTTTTAAAACCACTTTCCTTCTCCAAAAGTAGGAGGCTAAATTATTTTTCTCTATCCTGCATCTTGGCTGAAATCTTTCATAAAAGGGTATCTCTTGAACCTTTGGTAGGCCAAAGCATGTGCAGACTTATTCTTATAATTTTATTAATTATTTCAATGTTATGGTGCAAGGGCATCCAGCTAAGTCCAAAAGATATCTCTCTTGTGCAGCTGAACAAACCTGACATGGTTGATTTAAAATATATATCCCTTTAAATGTTTGCAATTCTGTTGTAGCCATGTTGGTGTCAGGATATAAGAGAGAAAAGGTAGGTCCAGCAATAACTTTTTTTGTACCAACTCTTGTTGGTGGAATGGGCAAGCTTTTAAGTTCCATGGAGCTGTTCTTCAGGTCTGAGGAAGAAGGTAACCTCATTTCCTGATTAACAGAAGTTGGTCCAATAAAAGATTACCTGCCTTGTCTCTCTCATAAATGTAAAATGGCAGCACAGATGTATGCAAATAAGACCAGCTCCTAAGGAATTAACTTATTGGACTAGGATTTGCTTATGCAGTACATAATTTTCTTATCTGTGCACATCCTTTTCTTGTATGATAATGGCATTACTAAGCTTTTAAACTTCAGATTTTCCCACATCATGTATTAATAACATTTACAATTATATCATCTGTGTTTTGTGCAAATCATCCCTATCAATTTGGAAATACAGGTTGAACCTCTCTAGTCTAGCACCCTTGGGACCTGACTAGTTCTGAACCAGAGAATTTTCCAAACCATGGGAGGTTAGAATTAACTACCAGCATTAGCAACGCTTCCATTGCTTACTGGACTGTTAAGAGGACATTTAGGGGTTAATTGGAGCTAAATAACAGCACAGAACTTTGAGAGCTAGAACTGATGGCTGTAAACAAAGTTTATGGGACTGTCAAATTTGGCCATACCATGAAAAGTGGAAATCCACTAACTAAAATCATTCTGGATGACAGATGTTTCCAGATCAGTGTGTTCTGGTCTACAGAGGTTCATCCTGTACAGAATAAAAATTTAGTGTTATGTACATAAAATGTGAAAAGTCACACTTATTAGAAGCAAAATCATTTCAGAAAAGGGTACTGTAAATAAATAGATTTTAAAATATTTACACAAACTACATCTACTATAATAAACCCTATCTGATTTGTCAAATTTAAGTCTAATTCTATAAAGTCTTACCACGTAAAGAAAAGAATGTGTTGCTCTTTTGCAATTTTCCAACAAGAACACAAGCTAATAATTCAAGTACAATAAACTTCACTTTGATTTTAAGCAAAATTCTAGAGGATTATATAAAGTGCCTGATGATAATTATGTGTAGTTAGTTACCATTTACTATTTCTAAAGTGCCTAAAATCCACCAGCATAGCTGTGTTGGTTTCAAAGAAATAGGCACTGGTAAAAGCAACTGGTTTCTTGTGTACAGTTGTATGCAGGCGGGCATAATAAAATAAAGGATATGATGTCACATTTTAGCTACTTTGTCCCCTCAGAGTTTATGGCATATCCAGGTAGGAAGAATATTTTGGTGCCTCTTTATCAACAAAACATTTCCAGCTTTATTTTATTTTTATTTTATTTTCAAAGACATTAAAATATCCTTAGAATGTGTCCTGAGCTGTTACAAGTTCCAAAAGCAAACAAAACTTGGTCGGGGCACACAGAGCTTCGGATAGAAATATGCTTTATTGTGGAAGCCAATGTAAACAAATAAATATTTCTGTTCACTGTATTTTAAATGGGTGCAAAGCCTTCAACAGAGGTCATCTGCACTGCACTGAGAGCAGTGTCAGTGTAACCATGCCACTATGAGATTGTCTTAGTGTGATCAGAGCTTTAAACGTAAAAGGATCATGTTCTACCCTCACACACACCATTTTGAAGTCTATGGAAGCAATGAGATTCCAAGTTAGTTTTATGCTGAGACACCCATTCAGTTTAGTTATCATCCGTTTTCTCTCTCTGATTTAATTGCCATGAGGACTCTTCCCCTACATGCTTTGACTGGGACTTGAAAATAATATTTAAGATGTAATCGCTCCTCCCCCACTTTGTTTCTGGACAACCTGTGACTCATGGTTGGAACAACATTTATATGCTGTTATCTTGAGAAACTGCTGCAGAAGCTGGCCAAACTGGCAGTGGCAATCCAAGCAAGACATGGAAGATTGAAATGATTTCTGCAACAACTGTATATGCTCTGGTGTGCTGCTACAATACCACCACACATCTTAGCTTTTGTTGGTATTTAATTAAAGGAGGACATTGCTACAGCATATGCTTTCAAATTGGCAGGAGTAATTTAGAATATGAACACATCAGTGATTAAACATTGTTCAATAAACATTTCTACCATAATGAAGTAGTGGTGGAGGGGACTCTCCAAGAAATTCCAATGTGTATGGCCTGGAAAATCCATCTAGACTGCAGTGAGCGTTTGTATAATGACTTATAAATTAACTGCTGTGAAGGCTGGAAGATTTTAATGGTTGCAAAACTGATACCAAAGATCCACACGTTGCCCAGCATTACAGCTACCTACAACTCCTTCAGCTGTTGCTACATTTTTTTGGTGATCAGCAAAGATGATAAATAGATTTTCCCCTGATTCTTTAGGTGTTGGATCCATTAGTTATAGGTGTGAACATTTAGCTTGATTTTTTTTTTATGTCTCCAAATGCTCATAATTTTGAATTTGCTATCTGGGTAACATTTTAATTCACAAATATCTGGGAAGTAATTACTTTTATTTGAGTCCAAAAGTAAATTATTGTATTTTAACAATTTACATTTATATAAAACTTATCATCCCATATGATGCCCTAGTGCTTCACAGACTGCATTTAGGCATTGTTTGCCTGCTACTACAATGCAACCGTTTCTTGAGTGGAACGTGACAGCTTTTATAATAGCAGCCAGCTACAGTATAAGTAATGCAGGTGACTCACCAGAGCCTTCCCATCCATAGGACAGTTCGAGGGGGCCACCTCAGGCTTTGCGCTGTATGAATGAAACCCACAGGGCTCAGAGCGGCCTCCCAGTCTGCTGTGCTCTGCTTCACCACAATGGCAGGAAGTGGATTGTCCCAGCTCTGGCACCAGGGTGCTCCGCAGTGACGGGGGGCAGGCAACCCCTGCTGTCGCCCTGTACCAGATCCCTCTGGCTTAAGTTGCTCAGGGGAGGGGGCAAGGTGCACAATGGGGCGTGGAGTGGGGGCAGGGTTTGGGGAAGGGCAGAAAAGGAGCATGGCTTGGGGGAAAGGGTGGAACGGAGGCAGGGCTTGGGGAGAGATGGGGATTTCTCCGGCCTCGGACATATGAACGGGGAGGGGGTTGCCCCAGACCCTCCTAGCGATAGCCCTGTCACTCACTGAAGAAGTGTTCATTTGGAATTGCAGAGGAAATATAGGCAAGCAGAGTATAATTATTATGGCATGCCCAGGGTACAATCCAGACTGAGCAATTGTCATTCCAGCCCACCTAGAGGTGTACCTTACAATGTTTTGCTGCTGTAGCTCCCAGTCTGGACTGCTCACAAACAGCTGTAAATCTTGCCCGTAAATCTTGTGATGCTGACTACAACAGTGCTTATGTGAATGCCTGTGCTCATTCTCAGGTGACATTGTAAACAAGAAGCAGACAGCTTTATCTCTTGCAAATGTAAATACACCTGTGTGCTTGAGCAAGTGGCTGAACAAGAAGTAGGTCTGAGTGGAATTGTAGGCTCTAAAGTTTTACATAGTTTTGAGTGCAGTTTTTTTTGTAAGTAATTCTACATTTGTAAATTCAGCCTTCATGAGACTGTACTACAGTACTTGTATTAGGTGAATTGAAAAATTTATTTGTTTTTTACAGTTGAAATATTTGTAATAAAAATAAATACAAAGGGAACACTGCACTCTTCTCATAGTCTGTGTTATATTTAAAATCAATACATTTGAAAATGTAGAAAACATCCAAAAACACTTAAATGGTATTCTGTTATTGTTTAACAGAATGATTAATCTTGATTAATTTTTAAATTGTGCAATTAATCACAATTTTAATCATTTGACTCCTGTTTTAAAGGACAGAAATAATCCTATTTTATCCTGTAATTGCATGATAATTATTGTGTAATTAATAGACAGTCCCACTACCATTAGATAATCATAGTTATATTGCACGTTAAAAGTATTCTTGGGAATTTTGCTCCTTGTAAATAAAGTGCTTGTATCTCCTGGAATAAATGTTCATAGCACAGAGAAATTTGGGTTACCTGCCCAGTACAAATACCACATCTAAAGTGTTAATGGATCAGAGATTAAATTAAGATGCTTTGTCTATCAGTATTTACCAGTGTGTTAAATTCTACTCTCCTTCTTTCAAATGTTCACTGTGATATTGAGTGCAAGAACATTAATCTTTAAGTGATACTAATGTGGGTGTCAATGTCATCTGTGCTTCCATAGAAAGTAATTGTGAGAGAATTCATTCTAATTCAAGGTTAATTAGTGTACCATTAAAATAATGTGTTACAAAAGTTAATTACTTTCTGGGTCAAAAAATGTGGTAAAAAGCTGAATGCCTAATGTCTGAAATCACATTTCCCGACTCAAAATAATGTTCTAAATCTTCCATCCTACTGAAAAATATCCAATCTGAAAAGTGAGAGAGATTTAGTCACTGGTATCTTCCTATCCCTCTTTTACTAGTAAATGTTTGGCATAGGTCTGGGAAATCTGGCACACAGCTCCGGTGAATAAATGGGTGAGTTGCTCACTTTGCTCCTGTCCTGCGATGTTGGAAGCTATATGCCAAGGAACAGCCCTATTTTGGTTTTGAAGGGCCGCAAGTGTGTTGGGTTGTGCATTGGACAAAGCAAGTTGCTGTGAAAATGTCACAAGGCAGCATTGTGATTTCTTCTTTTACCTCAGCATGAGTTTAAAAGATCCTTCTGCAGGCATGTCACACGCTATATTAAATACGGTGAAATTTATTTTACCAGGTAGTTTAAATTAACAACTATAAAGTGTACACATTAAACTGGAAGTACAAGTGAGAGCCAGGGTAGAACAACTGCCATCTAAAAATATCATCTACTTTTTCTTTGTTTAAATGAAGATATAAAAAATGCCAAGTTATAACATCTCCTGTAGCAGATTGGAAATGTTTTAGAACTATTTGTTAAAAGGCTTTGTTACTGCTTTGGATGGATTTGGGTTCTGTGTGGATAGATAACAAGATAATTATTCCCAAGCTCAGTGGACACGTGAAACCACAGCTTTTATTTTATTTTAATTGTATTTTTTTGTTTTTTATTTTTATTTTATGAAAAAGGCACTCTTAGCTTTGGTGTTTGGTTAATCCTGTGTGGAGCTGCTTCTCAGAGATGATCCTCGACAGTGATGCCCAAAATGGAAGATCCCATATTTTGCAGCTATTGCCTGTCCCACTACAGGGCTAAACCAAATTATCTGAACATCCCCAAACTTTGGTGCGATTCAGATGCAGATCAGGACTTAATGGCACAAGCTCATTTGCAGTTTGGTAGATTGAGATGAACAAAGAAGGGTGATGAAATTGCTCCTAGCTGATGCATGCAGCAGTGCCTTTTCCAGGCAGAATGCATAGGCCATGGGTTCCCAAACTAGGGGGCATGCCAAAATTCCAGGGGGGGAGTGCGAGGCGACCCAGCCTCCCCCCCCCCCCCCCAACGGGCGTGATGCTGAAAAGTTTGGGAACCACTGGCATAGGCCATCACAGTCCAGTTTTCCATCCGCTTCTTTCATCATCACAGTGCTTGATCACTTGAAGCAGGTTCTTACAGGTAGAGAGAGATGAGTCAATTGTCACACAAAAGACAAAGTAAGGAAAACATTTTAAGACTTCTGAATTGCTGAGTGCTTTCTCTTCCAGATCACATTGTTTTTCAACTAGCTCCTCCTTTAATTAGGTGAATTAAGATGTACATCACAGGAAGAGTTTGAGAATAGAAGGGGAGAAAAAGGCTTTTGTGAAGTGCTCCTTTGATTTAATTCCATCTTTTGCCCCTGTTTGTTTGCTTAATCCCTGCTTAAACTGGCATAAAGCAGAGATTTGTGTTTAATATGGAAAAAAACCACACATTCCATTCTCTAAAGATGACAACCGTGCCCTGCCCATAGCAGGGTGTCAAGCTGTGTGTCAGTCCTCAGAAGACTATTTCCCATGTGTTTGACAAATAGATGGATCTGAAGTTCTACTAGTGATCACCTCCCCTACAGTGGATGGCAGAGTGATTACAGATTGTTTCTGGGGGTGTGCCCAGTGACTTCAAATGCAGAAACCTGTGGGGAGGGGACAGGGAGGATTATAGAGTAGACAAAAGAAAGGTTCAAATACATTTTTCTGAACTGATGACACTTTGTTGCCCAGATCCTCGTGACTTAGGTTGAGAGTTGCAAAGCTACCAGGGGATTTGGATGCCTAGTTCCCATTACTTTTAATGGGAACTGGGGGGTTAAGCACCTTTGGTGGCTTTAAAAATCTTAGCCTTAGAGAGAAACCCAATTTCTGTTAAAGTCACGGGTGCAGAGGGAAACTCTAAAGCTGACTACAAGGCAGATCACATTCTGGTCTCCAGCTTTCTCCATTCCCCCTTACTCTGTGATTGATTTGAGTTGGAGTTTTGGATGCAGAGGAGTGCAGAATCTGGCCTCGTGTGGCCAGCCCTTTTAACACATGGCTGAGGCTCCTAACCTCACTATGTAAACATAGAAATGAGGATAAATGGCACATTGTTGACCATTCTGACTATAGTTTTTTAAATGTTCAGTTTTTAGTAATCTGTAACCTCGAGGATGTCTGCAATAGGGCTTTGTGTCTCTTTACAATAGCTTCATCTGACATTTTTCTTTTCAATATTTCTAGGGCAGGGCTTTGCTCCACTGGGCATGTGACCGAGGACACAAGGAGCTGGTCTCGGTACTGCTACAGCATGCAGCTGATGTAAACAGCCAGGTAAGGAGGGGATGGAAAACTTGCTTTTCAATGGTGCATGGTATTGTATCTTTACCAAACACTTCATACTTTGTTCCATCAGTATTCCACAGCAAATTTCTTTCAGAGTATTGAATATGGACGAGGCTGCCTAAAGCGATACACCAGAGAAAAATATACATGTTAAAATCAGATTTGTAGACAAACAACTACAAAAACAAGATGATTTTTTCCCTACCATAGGCTTTCGCTTCTTTGTTATCAGTTCAA